CATCGGTGTGTACCTCGAACAAGACATCAAACCTGGGCATGGCGAGTACTGGCGTTGTAGTCATGGCTTCTTTTAGTTTCCCAAACGCCTCCTCGCAAGCTTCGGTCCATGTGAACCCGCCTTTCTTAGTCATCTCTGTCAATGGCTTGCCGATGGTTCCATAATTCTTCACGAACTTTCGGTAGTAGCCTGTGATTCCTATAAATCCTCTCAACTGCGTGAGACTTGTTGGCTTAGGCCAATCGACCATAGCCTCAATCTTTCGTGGATCGACCTTCACGCCCTTGTGTGATATGAAGTGCCCCAGATACTCAACCATCTTCTGCCTGAATGAACATTAGGATGGCTTGATATGGAATGAGTTGGCCTCCAAAATTTCGAGCACTACTCTTAAATGCCCAAGGTGCTCGCCCCATGACTTCGAATAGATCAAGATATCATCAAAAAATACCAGAAAGAACTTACGTAGATACTCCTTGAAGATAGAATTCATAGCGAACTGGAAAGTGGATGGGGCGTTGCACAATCCGAATGGCATAACAAGATACTCATAGTGCCCCTGGTGCGTACGAAATGCTGTCATTGGAATGTCGGCTTTGTGGAGTCGAATGTGATGGTAACCAGCTCTCAGATCGAGCTTTGAGAAATAGCGTGACCCGGCTAACTCATCGAGCATGTCATCGATGCTCGGGATGGGAAATAGGTCCTTGATGTTTGCAGTGTTCAGAGCTCGGTAATCAGTACAGAACCTCCACGTGCCGTCTTTCTTTTTGGCTAACAAGACTGGAGAAGAAAACGGACTCTTGCTATGCTGGATTAGTCTTGATTCAAGCATCTCGGCCACTTGCTGTTCGATTTCGGTTTTCTGAAAGTGAGCATACCTATAAGGATGAACGTGTATGGCGTGCTGCTCGTTGATCAGTGGTATGCGATGATCGAACTCCCGGTGTGGGGGTAGTCCCTTAGTTTCGCCCAGTACCTCCTAAAATTCCTAGAGAAGCTCGTGCACATCTCCCTGCCATTGCTCCTCTTGATATATGTGCACCTCAGTCTTCTCCACCACTACTGCAAATATTTGGCCTCCACCCCGCCAAACTTTCTCAATGCTCTTAAGCCCCACCTCCTTGGTACCTTTTTCATTGCCAGTACTCAGAGTGACTTGCTGACCTCCGGAGTTGAACTCCATAATTCCTGTCCGATAGTCGGTGGTCACCTTACCTAACCCTTCAAGCCATTGTACACCTAGGACGACATCCGGCCCAACCAACGGTAAGGCATAGAGATCAGTCTTTACTGTAACTCCGCTGAACCTGATTGGCACCTTTCGGAAGGATTTAGTGCATTGCAGCCTCTCACCATTGGCTACTCGTACCTAAAAAGGCTCAATCTTCGTGGTTGGTAAGTTCAGCTTCTGGGACAAGTCGGTATTGATGAAGTTGTGTGATGACCCGTTGTCTACTAGCACCACCACCTTCCGATCCTTGACCCAGGCCGATAATCGCATTGTTTGAGGCCCTTTAATCCTGGCCATTGCGTGCATCGAGATTTCTGCTTCTTCGTCAAGCCTCTTAACTTCAATATCCTGATGTGGTTCCTCCTCGTCCTCAGATCCTTCCTCATCAGGATTAGCAACTTCGATCACAAAGGCTTGCTTGCATTTATGGCCTGGTGTAAACCTTTCTTCACACTTGAAACATAGACCTTTCTCACGCCAGCGTTTAACTTTCTCCGGAGATAGCTGCCTCACTATTGACCCTGCTGGCCGATTGCTGACGTTCAGCTGTGCACTGGCCGAGGCTTGGTTTGGTCCCGTACGTTGCGTGTCCGCGAATCGCACATCCACCCGTCCCCTTCCCGTAGCGACTAGATGGTCTTCTCGTCGACGGGCCACCTCCATGGCGTTATGCATCGTGCCCGGTCGCTCCAGTCGGACTTCTGCGGCTAGATCGATTCTCAGCCCGCCTACGAAGGCTCCTACTAGCGCATCCTCAGACCAATCTCGCACGCGACAGGCTAGTCGTTCAAACTCCTTGATGTACTCACGCAAAATGCCTTCTGTCGGATTCGCACGAGGGCCTCATTATAATTATGGTAATCGGACGTGCCAAATCGTGTGAGCAATTCCCTCTCGAAGTCAGCCCATGTAATGACCTGTTGCGCCTACGTTAGATCCTTGAGAGCCATTGCCACCATACGTTGGCCTCTCCGTCCAAGTAGAATGTTGCGTACCTCACTCGATCGTGGCCTTCGGTTTCACTCAGTTCGAAATATTGCGTAATTCGGTTGAGCCACGTCTCGGGATCACTACCTGTGAAGATGGACATCACGAATCTCAGCTTGTCGGGCTTAGGCCGCTAACGGTAGGTGGACACCTACCACCGCTGATCGAAATCCTCCTCGTGTTCGTAACCCTCGCGTCGCCGGTCCTCGTCCAGTTCGCGCGCGCGCCGTTGGTCGCGTCGATCCTCGTGCCGTGGGGATGGTGTGCGATCAGCATGTTGGCGTGGTTCGCGTCTTGGGGGATCGTCGCGATGATGTGGGGGTTGCTGCTGGATCGCGCGCAGGACTTCCTCCAATCGTTGTTCGAGTCGTGTAACAACGGTGTTGGTGTTGTTTTGACTTTCGTCGAGCGATCCAAGCCTTCCTTCCATAACCTCGCTCATACTTCGCATCTGGATGTCAAGATTATCAATCTTATCCTTCATCTCCTTGTTGGCCATGGCTTTTATTTCTTCTCTCCGCTCTTTGCTTTGTGGACTCGTGTTTGAAGATGATGATGATGATGGTGAACGAAAATATTTTTTTTATTTTTATTTTTATTTTTATTTTTTTTTTTGATAAGGGGGGACGAAAAATCGAAAAGAAAAAGAAAGGGAATGGGGTAGTAGAAAAACACACGATCAACACCTCTCAATGAAAGCACCAATGATGAGGATCGTGTGTTTCGACTGCCGATAAGCCGCTAACCCACGCCTTGAATCGCCGATAGTGTTCTTCGAGCCACAACAGCGCCTCTTAGAATTAATAAAATTGCAATAGTATTCTGGTGAAAAGACTAAAGCAAAGTTGGAAGAACAAAGATCTAGATTTCTATTGACTTCTTGAATGATAAAAAATAACAGGGGGTAAGGGCCTTTATATAGGCACAAAATTATATCTGAGCCTAATCTACCTAGTGATCAAATAAAGAAAAAAAATATTAAGTAACCTGAACAATCTAGATCTCATAATGTAGATGGAAACAACTTGCCTTGCACTCCACTCAAACTCTCTCTCTTCGGCCCCTTTCACGCGACCGCCCTACGCCCAACCGCCCGCGTTGCCTAGTCCTTGCGGCACTAGGGCGCGCCATCTCAACACGCGCGTGCAGCGGCGCCCAACGTGCGGCACACGCCATCGCTGCCTGCGCCGCCCTTTCGCGCGTGGTCACCCTTCAGTCCGCACTCCTCGAGGACTGCGGCATCGCGTCCCGCGCGTCCTTCCCCATCGGCCGTGTTGCGCACGCCTTTGCTCCCAGCTGCTTCTCCGCGCGCGTGCTGCCCCGTCTTTCCGCATGCCTCAAGGCATGCGGCCTCGTCCACTGCACGTGCCTTCTCCATGCCCGAGCTCTCCGCGTGTGCGCCCTTCAACCCCTCGCTATGCGCATTCTTTCTGACATGCATGCTAGCCGCGCACACCGCCCGCACATCCACGTGCGGCTTATCTTCGCCCATTTCGCGCGCACTACACTCTAGTGCGCGAACTTCTGCTGTCGCCCGTGCTTGCCTCTTGCGTGCATGGTAAGCTCGACTTGCGGCGTTCTTGAGCTGCCTAGCCACTTCCGCATCACGCGCTGCCAGCGCGCCCATGTGCGCGGGCTGCACCCGTCGGGCACCCAATTCGCGTGCCTTCCGTTCCTTCGAGCCACTTGGTTCCTTAGCCATCCCCACCAGGTTCTAACCCTTATATAAGCATCCCAAAACCTCTGATAGCGCTTCCTTTCGGGGCGTGGTCTCGCCCGTGCACGTCTACGCCAATGCGCGTATTCGCGCCCTTGTCTAATGAGCCCTTTCTTGCGCTCGATTGTCACCCACTTATGGACCACCCTTTTGCGTGCTCTTGCATTCCTCCATGCGCGACCTTCCTTGGCCGACTTATGTGATCGCGCGTCCAACCCGCGTTCTCTTCCACGTACTTGATCGCGCGCTATCTCTTGACCGACAAGCTTCGACCCACTCACGATCGATCCTCATATAGTCGACCCTTGTATGGCAGACCCTTGGCTCACCGGGTTCACCTCATGCGCTCGTGCATCGATCTGTTGGGCCTTTCGTCAGCTACCATGGTTCACGCCTATGCGAACTCCTCGATCCAAGCATGTCCGTGCTATGCGCTTATACCTCATGCTCCTCGGGCTCATGCAGCTTCTTCGTGCGCGTATCTTTGTGAACGTGCGAGCTCTTCTCGCGTGTACCCGCTCCTTTGCACAAGATATCCATCGACTACCTCGTGTTCGCGTGGACTCGTGCCACTTCTCATGTGCTTGAGTTCCTCTCATACGAGCTCGTACCCGCCTCTTGGGCCATGCGTGCATCGTTTTGTCCCTATTTTCAGCCTCCTCGGGTCGTCTCGGCTCTTGGTCCTTCTTGTCGCTGGGGCTCGAAACCCACTTCCGCATCATTCCCGCCCCCTTTGAGAATGTCCTTGTCCTCAAGGACTCGCCATTGACCATCAAAACATCGGGGACTCCTTCTTTGATCACGTTGACCTTTTCTTTATTATTCTCGACTTCATGGTCCCGGCTATCTTGGCCACGTCTGAAACCTCCTCGAGCCTTGGAGCTTCGACCACCTTGACTTCGTGCGTGTCTTGTTCGATCGCAATTTTTGTCTTGCACTTATTGTGCTCGACCAATTCGACCTCCGTCTCCTTCTTGGACTCGCCTTGGGCCTTGCTACTTGCTCGCATATCCTTCTTGACTTGGGTGTGGCCCATGAATTCCTGTTGGTAATTAGGAAAACTGTCTCTCTTCCATTTATGCGTGGGAGCCTCGTCGTAATGGCAATAGATCGGGGTCTTGAACCGTGCGATGAGCTCCTTCTCAAAATCTTCCCATCGAGTTAGTTCGCGGCGGTTGTGGTAGAGCCATCGCCACCAAGCTTTGGCCCCTCCGTCAAAATAATCTGAAGCGTACTTTACCCAATCCTTCATTGGTAGATCTTCGAGGATGAAATATGCAAGAGCTTGCTTGAGCCATGCGTCTGGGTCAGCTCCATTGAATGTTGACAGCTCCCGTCTCCACCTTTCGTATCTCGGCCTTTTAGGGTTTTGACGGCGATACCAATCGTCTAAGAACATTCGTTCACAAACCGTCAATCTCCTTCCCTTGCCCGCACGCACCACCTTTTCAAACCTCTCTACTTCCCACCTCAAGTATTCCTCCATGGATTCTCTCCTCAACTTTTTTTTCCGATCAGCTAGCCCCTCTCACGAGCACACAACCTCACGATTTTTTTTTTTTATTATTATTATTATTTTTTTGATTGGGGGGACGAAAAAAAAAGAAGAGAAAAAGAAAGGGAATGGGGTAGGAAAAAACACACGATCAACACCTCTCAATGAGAGCACCAATGATGAGGATCGTGTGTTTCGACTGCCGATAAGCCGCTAACCCGCGCCTTGAATCGCCGATAGTGTTCTTCGAGCCACAACAGTGCTTCTTGGAACGAATAAAATTGCAATAGTATTCTGGTGAAAAGACTAAAGCAAAGTTGGAAGAACAAAGTTCTAGATTTCTATTGATGTCTTGAATGATTGAATGAATCCAAATAGCCTTTATATAGGCAAAAATTATATCTAGTCCTAATCTACCTAGGGAATTAATAAAGCAATAAAATATTAAGTATCCTAACCAATCTAGATATTATAGAGCATTAAGGAAACTAAATAAGTAGGG